TGTCAATTTGTTTTCTTTCTTACTTTCCAAACTAAGCACTTGAAAATGAGGAAAGAGAAATAAAATATTGTGAAGCCCAGCTGTCTATGAGACACATGTTTATGTCAGTCATTGCGCATATGATGTATTGCAGCAATAAATCAAAAGAACTGCACTAGTTGTGTAATTTATTACGGCAATATATCAGCAGGGTGAGGCCTCCGGGAGTGTGAGTTACAGACATGAACCTTGCATCGTTGCTTTTATTTACTTTCTCTATTTACGTTTGATATAAGAAGACAGGGTGGGAGGACCTGATGTTAAAATTGAAAGTTTCTTTTGCATGATTGCCAAATGGCTTTAGACGTTTCCACCAAGGTAATGTTATTAAAAATTTTAGCCTTTAATTAACTATTTCTGTTAAAATAAATTAAAAAGCAATAAAGTCTTAAATATAATTATGCCTTAAATATTTATAATAATCAGTTTATTCATTGAGGCATTTCCTTTTTACTTCTTCATATTTTCCCATAATAATAATATACTTGAACTACACTACCATGAAGGAATTACATACTTTTTTTTAATTCTTCATTGGTTATTTTCCTAATTTAACATTGTAACAGAGATAGTTGTGAGGAGTAGACAGGTCTTTCTTGAGTAAATCACTTATTAACATTTTAATCTTCAAAGTTCAAGAATTTATATTATCATTGTAACGTGTCAACTATTAATATTTTCATATGAGATATTTATTATTGATTATGGAGAATTAAGCCTTTCTGCCTTTTATTCAGCAAGCATGGAGGTAGATAAAAATTCCCTTATTGACTAAATCTGATTCATCACAGAGCTAGATATATATGATGACATAAGAGTTTTGTAGCCAAACCCTGTTTTCCAAGGCTATTCTCTAACTCCCTCACACCACTCATATTACTATTTCCTCTTGGTGCCAGAATGTTAACAATTTTTTTAGTATATTTAAAATAATCGTTTGCCATATAATGTGTGAAGACTGACTCACTATTTGTATTAAATATTATAGATATCTATAGTTCAGGAAAATATTTTGTGTGAATAGTTAATAACATTTACACCTTTGTTACTAACGGTATGGGAACTTCTCAGGAATACATAATCTCTGCCTCTACACCACACTTTTGGAATAAAAATCTGCATAAATAAATCTGTTAAAATATTTTAACAATATCCTTAATTGATTCATATGCACATTAAAGTTTGAGAAGCACTCGTTTGTTAAGTAACACATTCTCCCAATCTCAGGTCTATGTAGTTTGTCTTCAGGTTCAAGGACAAGATCAACACATTTAAAAAGTGCTAATGTTTTCCTAATGACAAAACTGTTTTTTGGGAAAAGGCACCAAATATGCAAGGATATTCATTTTGGGAAAGATCACAGACTTGTAAGATGATATGCTACATTTGAAAGAACTTGGGCCTTTATGTTATAATAATGTGGCTTAATTTCTGACTCTGCCAGTCACCCCACTAAATAACCTCAAGTTAGCTAACCTCAAGTTAGCTAAGCTTTAGCATAATAACAACAGCTACTTTGGTGATAATTATATTAAATGCAGAATAAAACAGGCATCCACTGAATGGTAACTATTATTAAATATCTTTTATGATGCAGCTTAAATACATGAGGGCATTGTTACATTTGTAAATGTTTGGAGGAGCAGAGTAAAGCCTGTATGGCACTGTCCCTGGTTCTGAACGAGCAGTCCCTGTTAAGGCAATATTTCCCTATCTGTAGCCACTTGAATACTATTTATTGTATTAGATATACCTTACATGACACATTAGATCCTCTCAGGCACCGGTGGCTCTAGAACACTTTTTTTTTTTCTCCTCAGTTGATGTGATGATCAATGTTATATAAGCACAGTGCCCTCACTTGTGTCTGTGTTTGCCTTGAGACTCTTACTTCTCCCCAGGACGGCTTCCCTCCTGCCCCTGATTCTAAAAGGACCTGCTTCTACCATGTGCAGCCTGAAAGCCTGCAGGGAATTAATGACCCATGGATCCAATCTCTGGCCAAAAGAAGAAGACCAACAGAAATATTTATCTTCTTTACTCAATACTACTTCCTCAGGGACCATCCTAAGGTGCAATAGTTTATATGGCCTTCCTGAAGTCGGTCTCAGGGGATCAGGATATCCATTGCACTTTACACGAAGAGATACCCAGCTCTGAATCACATCTCTTCATATACACTGTCCCTCTTTCTCAGCACATTCTGCTTTCACTTGATATTTCTTTCTGGGATTTCATACTTAGTAGAAGCCGGGCGTGGTGGCTCACGCCTGTAATCCTAGCTCTCTGGGAGGCTGAGGCGGGCGGATCACTTTGAGGTCAGGAGTTCGAAACCAGCCTAAGAGCGAGACCCCGTCTCTACTATAAAATAGAAAGAAATTAATTGGCCAACTAATATATATAGAAAAAATTAGCCGGGCATGGTGGCACATGCCTGTAGTCCCAGCTACTCAGGAGGCTGAGACAGGAGGATCGCTTGAGCCCAGGAGATTGAGGTTGCTGTGAGCTAGGCTGACACCACGGCACTCACTCTAGCCTGGGCAACAAAGCGAGACTCTGGCTCAAAAAAAAAGAAGAGCTTTCATACTTAGTAGAGAAGCAGAATAGGCTCTGTTTGTTTGTTTTTAACACACCTGAACTTAGATAAGTATCTTCATATTTTTGATTATCTAAATACAATTTCTACTATCATTTATTTTGAATTGTTCTTTAACTTGATTCATTACCATAAATGGATATCCAGTATCAGAAGAAATAGAATGCAACTCTAAAAATATATACAATGAAACTGAAACTATGCTATCATATTAACACCATTGCCCACCAAATGTTAGTCTGAGTTCCCCTCCTCCCTCATTCTCTTTTCCTCTCCTCCTCTTTTCTTTTTCTCCCTCTTTATTTCTTTTCCATTAAATGTTATTGGTGTGTTAAATATATACTAGCAATAAATTTAAACTTTCTTCTTGAGTCAGTCAGAGGATTGAAAGAACATTACGAATAGAATTTTTCATATTACACCATTAACTTTAAATTGCTGCAGTTTCTGGACAATCTCTAATATCACTAATATGAGTCCCGTATCTTGGGGAAAATAATATGGGCACTATGGAATATCAAAATTATGAAGATTCTCATGAAAATTTCTCAGAAATCTTAAATCAGGTGAGAGAATATGGTGATGCCACCCATATTTCTAGTCTATGAAGCCTAGTTTAGATCTGCTCAAACTGTCATTTTTTAAAAATGATATTCTTATTTACTACATATTTGATTATACCTTGAATAATTTCTCATTTGTGTTTCTAGTAGCCTATAATGATAAATACCAATTTTGACTATGCATAAAAACCAACAGGGAACTTTGAAAAATGAGACCTGTGCCTTATCCAGGAATTCTGATTTAGTTGTTCTTGGGTGAGGCTCAGGCATCACTATTACTATTACATAAAAGCTCCCTAGGAGATGCTAATGTACATTCCATGTTAAGAAACGATTCTACCTCTTCTGATACATCATTGAAAAATTAAGGCAAGTATGCTGTTTTTCTGCCCCATCAGTAGTATACTGGGTGCTATGATGTGAATGTCTCCCAAAATGTATGGGTCAATGTGCTGTTATCAAGATGTGGAGCTTTTAGGAAGTGATAAAGTTACAAGAGCAGATCTCTCATAGATAGAACTAGGGTCCTTATAAAAGGACTTGAGAGAGTTCACTCTTTTCTCCTCTTTTGTCATGTGAGGAAACAGTGTTCATCCCTTCTGTCATGTGAGAACACAGCAACAAAGACCTGTCAATGAGGAATGGGGTCTTTGTCAGACACCAAACCTGCTGGTGCCTTGATTTTGGACTTCCCAGCCCCAGAACTATGAGAAATAAATTTCTATGATTTATAAATTACCCAGTCTCAGGTATTTCGTTACAGCAGCACAAATGGACTAACTGGATCATTTATTTTTTATTCTAATATTCAGCCCTTTAATAATGCCCCTACAAGCCAGGCACGGGGGCTCACGCTTGTAATCCTAGCACTCTGGGAGGCCAAGGTGGGTGGATCATTTGAGCTCAGGAGTTCAAGATCAGCCCGAGCAAAAGAGAGACCCCATCTCTATTAAAATTGAAAGAAATTAGCTGGACAACTAAATATATATAGAAAAAATTAGCCGAGCATGGTGGTGTATGCCTGTAGTCCCAGCTACTCAGGAGGCTGAGGCAGAAGGATCACTTGAGCCCAGGAGTTTGAGGTTGCTGTGAGTTAGGCTGACGCCATGGCACTCTAGCTCAGGCAACAGAGTGAGACTTTGTCTCAAAAAAAAAAAAAAAAAAGAGTCTCCCTATAATTCAGCAGGCCCAGGGAGAGGCAAATGGGCTGGCCACTTGATCAGGCTTAGCTTTTCTAGGTTGCCAATAAAACCACATGAGGGGATCTGACCCACTTTCCCTGCTGTGCTCAGCTCCAGATCCCAAATAAATACCTAATAAATACCTAATACTTTACCCCTGAATGACTTGAATTAGCATTTTAGTAGGATAAACTACTGATTGTATTTACTTGCAGTTGTTACATTAGTGGTCAAAGAATTCTGTTGCAATCTAGAAAGTGTTAGCTTAAGTTCTGCATTTCTGCCTGTTTGAACAGTTTCTCCTTTAATATGTATATATAGATACATAGTTTTACTTCCCTCTAAAATATATTTTTAGTTACATTACTTACATTTTTTCCTAAATTTTCCTTTATTTCTTTATTCTTCATAATTATGGAATAATTCAGCTCATGTATCTTGGTAATTTTATTTAGTTTTAAATGTTACCTAATCCTTTTAGTACTTTAACAATATAACTAAAAATTATTTAACTTTTATATGTTGATGATCAATCATATTTATTTTAGTGATATATTTATTAGTATGTATTAGTCAAATTTATTTATTTGGATATATTTTTTTCTTTCTTTTCTTTAAAAGACAGGGCCTCACTCTGACACTGAAGCTAGAGTGCAGTGGCATGATTGCAGCTCACTGAAGCGTCAAAGTCCCCAGCTCAAGACATCCTACCACCTCAGCCTCCTGAGTAGTTGGGACTACCCAGGCATTCAGCACCATGCCTGGCTAAAGAAGAAATAATTTAGCATCTTGAGTTTCTTAACTTTTTTATTTCTCAAAACTTCTCATGTAAATAAAAGATCTTATTACAATAACCTTTTCAATCTAAGGGCTACAGGAAAAAATCTATTTTTTCCATTAAATATTTTTCCTTCTATTAAATTAAAGCACTATATAACTTAACACATTGCCTTTAATGCCTTGGCTACTGAAAAGTCTGGAATAAATGTATGGTTGTGTTATTTAGTTGTAGTCATACTGTGTCTGAACTTTTATTGTAAACTACTTTAAATGTTTCTTGAAATAGCTAAAATAATAATTAATTAATTTTAATCAGTTTGTGGGAATTCTAATTGTTCTCAGAGAGTCAAACACAGAAAAATATTGGTTCAAGCTTAAATAAGTTCATGTAGGTTTTCTTGTGTGTAAAACTTATAAGAAATATATTACAATCAGCTCAAGAACTACATAAAAATCAGAAAGTCAGAGAAGAAACAATTCATGTAAATTAATTCAGAATTTCTCTAAATTTCTCTAAATATAAAACATTTCAATCTTCTGTTGTTTTTTTTTTTTTCTGCTGAATTATTTCACCAAAGAAAATATTTTTTTAATTGCCCCTGTTCAGTTTGCAAGCAAAGTTAATCTGGAAGAAATACACATAGATAGATAGATAGATAGATAGATAGATAGATAGATAGATAGATAGATAGATAGATAGATGTACACACACACAAACACATACATGCAAAATAGCTTTCCTCAGCTATCTGTTCTTTCAGTCTTTGTGGATGAATTTCAACAATAAAACAGGTAGGACAGGTGGCTGCTGGTGTTTTGAAAATTCTGTTTGATGCCAAACAAATTGAAAGCTTTGAGAACTATTATATCAATCCATCAGTATCAACATCTTATTCTGAAGGGACACTAGTGATTTCCTGGGTGAATACACTAGTTGCCCTGGATACTGACCATTATTCTTCTCCAGGAACACATCTCTTTTGAGAGCGTCCAGCTTTAGTAATACATTAATTTGCACAACTAACCAAGCTGAACCATCTCTGAAATGTATTTGGATTTAAATCAAAGGAATTGTGTTAGAAATAAACACCACTAACCTTACTGTAATATCATTCTTATCTTAGCAAATAAGAATATCATTTGTACAGATTTCAGAAAATTACCCTGGATAGCTGAAGTCTTTAAAACAGCTAAGCTTTCATTTTGGTTTTTTTTTTTTTTTTTTAAAAAAAGCTGTTTGTTTTTTCATTTGATTCAGGGAAACATTTTTATAATATCTCTTTTAGTTTATTCATTCATTTACTCATTGCTTCAGCAAATATTTGCTGAATATAGCAATGCACCAACTTCGGGATAATTGTCTGAAGACACAAAGATGAAAAACAAATTGTCTTTCTTCAGATGCTAGTAATAGTATAGAAGAGGCAATGCAGCAATTTATAATTTATTCTAGTGATATAATTCATGTTCGTAGAAATGTGTACGTGTGTAGGGAACATAGTTATACAGTTTTAAATATGGTTCATTGTTAAGTTTTCATGATTAGAGGGAGGATCTATGAGAATTAGCATTTGTTGTTAACTGTTGTGAGGTACCAGGTTGCATATGATAGCTTACTTTAACTCATCAAATACATCCTATGAAGCATAAACTATGAGTCAAATTTAACATGAGAAACTAAGGCATAGAAAGATTAGGAAATGTTTATTAAAGAGTAGGTCATAAATCTATGTTCCAAATCAATGTCTATCTCTATGATCTAACCTTATTAATTTCTGCCACATCATAGCACTTCTTGAAAAGCAGTATATTATAATTTACTACTAAGACTGTTTCCATGACTAATATAACCAAGATATGATATCATCTTCTTATGCATAATGTATAAAAAGATGTATTTAGTGGTTGATCTAGTTATATTCCATATAACCAATGGTAAAAATCATAAAAAGTTAGAGTTGGAAGATAATTTTAACTCTATCCTATAATGTCAAATCTGAAATTCAAAAACATTAAATTAATTGCTCAAGATCAAACAACTCTTACAAACCAGAATCAGCAACTGAAAAAAAGGTCATCTACCACCAATTTCAGGTTTATTTTCAGTCCTTTCTTATTCTTACTCAGCCACCTACATTTGACAAATCATATATTCATATTAAGTTTATTATACTCTGTGATCGAATCTATACAGTATAGTTAACACACAATAAAATTTAGATAACACAATCCAACATATTTATTTCTACAATCTTTATTTCTCTTAGGTGGAGGATCAGTGTTTCAATATCTTTTGGCCCTAGTAGATCACATCATATCATGGATGTTTTAATGTCTTATTTCAATGTAAATCCATTGGCATTACAATGATATCTCATTTTACAGACTTATAGAATATTAACTTCTTATATCTTTAAAGGCATTTTATAAAACAATACACATAAGACATTTCACTTTTTTATATTCTGAGCTTCCAAAAATCTACAAGCACAATAATTTCTGCTTCTGGAAAGATGGGGCAAGACATACTTTTTTTGATTCCTCTCCCTAAGTATAACTTAAAATCCTGCAAATTATATGTGAATCAAATATAAGAAGTCTGCGAAAGGTAGAGTGAAGAAAGCAACTCAGATTTTAGGTATCTTGACACATAGGAATATCATGGTGGTGAGTTCCCTTGGTTTTATTTTTACCTCATATATCTCAGACTTGGAAATGAATAAGCTGGCAACCCAGAAATGTCAACATGCACAGAACAAACAAAACAACAACAACAACAACAAAAACAACCCTGCTGTCTCTAGATAAAACATTAGGAAGGAGATAGCCTAGCAGGGCAGAAAACTTTTAGGCAATAACTACACTAATCTAGCCAAACATCATATAAAACCAAAACAACAATATAAAACTGTGACTTAAATACACCCATATCAGGAAAAGGCAACTGGGAAGCCTGGACTTATATCCAGACCTAATGGTAATAAGATGCCTTCCCCTTCCCTGCTGGAGTGGTGTCAGAAGAAGCCTAGTGGAGAGTCAGGACTTTCACCATATCCACTGTGGTGACAGTATAGAGACTATGTGTGGAGCCTGAACTCTCATTCCCTAACCAGAAGTATAGAGGAGTATGATTCCCACTTCAAATTATCAACAGAGCCTGAGTAGAGGACCTTTTATAGCAACAGTGTAGCACTCCTCATCTTCCCCTCCCAAAGTGATATCAGAGAAAGCCAGTTAAAACAAAAGGTTTAAAGAAGATCTAGAGTTTCATAGAATAAAACCACAATGTTAGAGTTCAACTAAAATCACTCATCATGCCAAGAATCAGGAATATCTCAAAAAGGAACAACAACAACAACAAAAACCCACAACCAATAGACACCAAAGCCAAGATGTCAGAAGTGTTAGAATTATCTGACAAAAATTTTAAAGTAATCATAATATAAATGTTTCAGTAAGAAATTACAAGCATATTTGAAGCAAATGAAGAAAGAATAAAGGCTCGAGAGAAGCAATTGAAAATCTCAGCAAAGAAATGGAAGATATAAACCAAAACCAAATGGAAATTTTAGAACTGAAAAATGCAATAAATGAAATGAAAAGCTTAGTAGGTAAACTCAACAGAAGAATGGAGGGAATGAAAGAAGTGTGAGTAAACTAAAAGAATAATAGAAAATAGTCAATCTGAACAATAAAGAGATGGTAGTCTGAATAAACTGAACAAAATTTCAGTGACCTGTGGAACTATAACAAAAGATCTAACATTTATGTCAAAGGAGTCCCACAAGGAGAAGATAAAGAGTGTGGCACTGAAAAAGTGTTTGAAAACTAAGTCCTAAAAATTTCCCTAATCTGACAAGAGATATAAATGTATATATTCAAGAAACTGAGTAAGTTCCAGACAAAATAACCCCAAAGAAATTCATGTCAAGACATGTCATAATTAAACTTCTGAAATTCTGTTATAATATGCCCCAAACATGGAGAAGTTTGGGTTATGTTACGCTAAGTGAAGTAACCAAGGCAGAGTAAGACAATACTTCATGATCTCACTTGTATGTGGAATCTAAAAATAGTCAAACTCATAGAAATGGAGAGTAAAATAGTGGTTATGAGAGGCTGGGCTAGGAGCAAGGTTGAGTAATAAGATGTTGGTCAATGGGTACAAATTTCCAGTTAGAAAAGGGGAGTAAGCTTTACAGATATACACAAAAAATATAAGTGAGTGAGATGATGAATATGATATGGTAGCTTGATTTAATCATTCAACAATGTGAATATACATAAAAGCATCACCCACAAAACATACCCAATTATTATTTTTCAATTACAAATAAAATAAAAAATAAACTTCTGAAAACTAAATAAAAGAAACAAATCTTAATAGCAGCCAGAGAAAAGTGACGAATTACAAAGAGAAAAAAAAAATTGAATGATAGTTGATTTCTTATTAGAAATCATGGAGAATAGGCCATAATGAATGCTGGAGAGGATGTAGAGATAGGCACACCTTCACACACTGTTGGCAAGAAGGTAAATTAGTATAGCTGCTATGAACAACAATATGAAAGTTCCTTAAAATCGATTAATAAAAATAGGACTATCACATGATCCAGCAATCCCACTGCTGGGTATATATTCAAAAGAAAGAAAATCAACATATAGAATAGATATCTGCACTCTCATGTTTATTTCAGCAGTATTCACAATAGCCAAGATTTGGAATCAACCAAAGTTTCCACAAATAGATAAATGAACAAATAAAGTATGGTATATTTCCACAATGGAGTATTATTCAGATAATACTTCATATTATTAGTCATTCAAAAAGGAGTGTAATATTGCCATTTGCAACAATATGGATTAAGCTGGAGGCTTTCTTTAAGTGAAATAAGCCAGGGCACAGAAAGACAAATGTTCTCACTTTCCTGTGGGAGCAAAAAACAAAAACATTGAACTCATGGAGATATAGAGTAGAATAATGGCTACTAAGGCTGGGGAAAGTGGTATGAAAAGAGGATAGTTAATAAGCAAAAAAATACCATTAGCAGGAATAAGATCTCATGTTTGGTAGCACATAGAGTGACTATAGTTACCAATAATTTACTGTATGTTTCAAAATAAGTGCTCTCAAATGTTTATTGCAACACAATTCACAAATGCAAAGATATGGAAAGAACTCAGGTGCCCATCAATACATAAGAGGATTAATAAAATGTGGTATATGTATACCATGGAGTTCTACTCAGCCACAAAAAACAATGGTGATCTAGCACCTCTTGTATTATCCTGGATGGAGCTGGATCCCATTCTACTAAGTGAAGTATCACAAGAATGGAAAAAACAAGCACCACTTGTACTCACTATCAAATTGGTACTAATAGATCAACACTTATGTGCACATATAGTAGTAACATTCATTGGGTGAAGGGAAGGTGAGGGGGGGGAGGAAGGGATGGGTATATTCACACCTAATGGATGCAGTGTGCACTGTCTAGGGGATGGACACACTTGTAGC